TTAGAAGCTCCTGTGGAGAAGGGGCCAGGTGCCTGCAGATGTGTCTGCCAGACACAGGGAGCATCCAGGGGCTGTAGGAGTGAAGCAGCCTCAGACAGGTCAGCCCATTCCTTACTGAGGCCTTCAGAACCTTTACAGGCCTGGGACAGTTTTGGGCCTAAGTGCTCTGAGGGACATCAGGCCTGGCCTGCTGCCACATGGCTGCCTCATCCATTCAGAGTAAAACCCAAAAGGAGCACCAGCCACTGGTCTTGCAGGCCCCACTGCCCCCTGTGAAGTGGGGTGCCCCACTCACAGTGTAGGGTACAGAAGCCATGTGTGTCTGAGCCCCCTGCACACCTGGTTGTCTTGTCCATACCACTTGCTTGCTGTGGTGTGGCTGAGGCAGGGCTGGCCGGGGGGACCCAACTCTCCCCATCATCTGTGTGGGGAGAGCCCTTGTGAACAACTATCTGCCAGTGGCTGTGGCTGAGGAGATGGCATGGGTGCCTCTATCTCCTGAGTTGTCACCCAATGAGAAAGGAAACAAAGCCTGTTCCTTGAAAGAATTCGTGGGTTCATGGTCATCAAAGAAAGAAGCCTCAGGTGTTTTGCTTTGCTCTCAGGTCACCAACAGGGTGGGTTCACATGGCTCATGTGGGCATTGGGCAGTGCCAGCTCTTCCCAGCTCTGTGGCTGTGTTGGGAAGACCACTTCGGCTTCCGAGGGGACTCACTCTCAGGTGGGAGCAGGTGAGCTCTCATTCTGGGAGTGACCAAAGTGACTCTGGCATGTGCTTGTGCTTGGGGCAGTGATGCTGGATCTGTCTTCGAGAAGACCTGCTTGACCAGACCTCCTGCCTCTGCCCTCTGGTACAGGGGGCGGTATGACGGGTAGGATGGCCCACAGCCCGAGACCCTGTGGGAGTTCAGGTGACCCCAGGGTCACCCCTGAGGAAGGAGACACCTGTGGGTAGGATGGGATGGAGTGGACACATTCAGGCCTCTGCCATCAATGAGTGGCCACAGACCCTGGGCTGAAGGTCTTGGTCCCTCCAGCAAGATCCCTGGGCTGGAGGCCTCCGTCCCTGTGACTGTGAGATCCTGGGGCTGGAGGCCTGGGTCCCTGGGGCTATGAGCCTCCCCAGGCTTGAGGCCTTGATCCTTGAGGCTGAGAAACCTGTGACTGTGATATCCCAGGGGCCAGAGGCCTTGGTCCCTGCGGCTTGAGCCCCCCTAGGCTGGAGGCCTCAGTTCATCTGGCTGCAAGACCCCTGAGCCAGAGCCTTAGTCCTTCTGGATGTCTATCTGGATGGAAGACTTTGTTCTCGTGTACAGAAACAGTTCAAAACAAGACTCATATTTGCCCCCTTAACTGACAACCTCCCCTGGTGGTCTCTGTCTCTAATGTTGCAGCTTCTGGGGCCCAGTTGAAACCCTGAGCTGGGGGTGGCCTGTGAACAGGACAGAGACATGATGTTCACAGTGGGCAGGTTGGAAGTGGCTCTCATGGCTCCCAGCCCCTCTCTTAGTGCCACCATGAAGCTTATGCAGCCTCCCTGCTCTGCCAGTAACCAGGAGCTTAGTCCCATGCCCCTGGGGTGGGAGGGGATGAGGAGATGAGGGTGTAATCCGGTGTGTCCCCTCCTGGCACTGCTCTTCTCCGTCCGAGTCCTGACACTCTTCTGGAAGCTCTGTTCATGCGTGGCCTTGCTGTGGGGAAGCTGGTGGCACCAGCCTTCGTGTACCTTCCGACGGGCAGAAGGTGGACTATACAGAGCCTCCTGTGGGTCTATGCAGGCATTTCTGGCATGTTGAGGATGGTCAAGCTTTCTCTCTGGGTGACAGGCAGCAGCCTTGTCTCTGTCAGGGCCGGGAGGGCTTGGTTTCTAGATGCCTGCCCAGAGGTCCTCCTGGAGCTGTTCCCACCCAGCTGATGCCCCTGCAACCCAACCACCTGGACCACAGGTGTGTGTCTGGCCCAGGTGCCGGTGTGGACCTGCCCCTGTGGGCAGCTGGCATCCCCCAGGCATTGCGGCAGCACCTGGAGTTGTTCCTTGCCCCAAGCCTTTCACCCCTGTTTCCCAGGTGTTGGGTATCTCCAGGGCCCATTGATGCTTGAGTCTGAACACACCCTGCCACCAAGGCCTCAGCCACGCGACCTCTTCCTGTCCATTACCTTCCTGAGTGTCCTTATTCCTATGGGTCAGGACAGCTCCCAGGATGTTTGGGCATCCCTTTGGTTACTCCTGTCTTGTTCTGGAGCTGCCTCAGCTCAGATCCCTGCCTGGGATGTGGGATCTCTTGTGATCTTGTCTCCCCCTCCCCGCCTCCGGCAGATGATGTTTGCGGCAGTGCCTGGATCTCACTTGATGGGATTTAGCATGTGCAGTGCCCAAGTATCCCTTGACCATGCCCCAGGTGTCCCATGAATATGAATCACGTCCCAAGTATCCCTCGAGCTGGACTGTGCCCCAGGTGTACCTCGACTGGATCATGCCTCAGGTGTCCCTCAAGTGTAAACCATGCCCAGGTATCCCTTGAATGTAGTCTGTGCCCCAGGTGTGCCATGAATGTGGACCGCACCCCAGGTGTGCCTCAATGGACCAGGCCCTAGGTATGCCTTGAGCATGGATTGTACCCTAGGTGTCTGTCGAATGTGGACCATGCTCCAGGTGTGTCTCGAATGGACTGGGCCCTAGGTGTGCCATGAAGCAACTGGACCCTAGGTGTGCCTCGAACATGGATTGTACCCTATGTGTCCCTTGAATGTGGACTGTGCTCCAGATCTCAAGGACTTAGCTCAAGAAGAGGAATATGAAGTAGCTTGGTGTCTTTTACTTTGATCTGTTGTCTAAATGATCATATTTTGGATGCATTGGGTTAAATGAAATACACGATTAACATTACTTGAATGGCAGGCCAGAAAATATCAAATAGGAGTGTGACTTTGTTGCATATTTTTGGATGTCGTGGGCCCAGGTCTCCTCTGGACTTGTGTGGTTGTCTGTTTCTTCTGACCTCCCCTCAGTCCCAGATGCTGCCCAGGACATGCATTGAAGCTGCCTACCCTGGGGCCTGCTGAGGCACCTGTACTCTTCTGCCTGTTGGATTGTGCTGCCCATGTCCTAGGTGTCCCAGAGCTTAAGGTGCTTAGTGTGACAGTCCTCAAGCTATGTCTTCTCGTGGCCATACTGTGGCTCTCAGGGTAGGGACTGTCCTGCGCCTTCCATAACTGAATTTGCTGCACAGGCACTTTCTCAGAATCTGTTTTCCCCTTTAATGTTTTTGTTTTTTTTTCAACTTTCTCTATCGTGGTGAAATGCACATAAAATTTGCCATCGATACTATTTGTAATCATCGAGTTAGTTGAGTGTTGTTAAATGCGTTTGTACTGTGTAGCCATTACTGCCATCCCTTTCCATGATGCTTCTTGTCTTATAAAGCCAAAACTCTGTCCCCATAAACCCCAACTTCCTCTTCCCCTCTGTCAGCCCCAGAATTCTGTCTGCTTTCTGTCTGAATTGAGTTGACAGTGCTAGGGACCTCATGTGAGGATTTATGTTTTTTTGACTTATTTCGCTCAGCAGAATGTCCTCAAGGTCTATCATGCTGTAGCCTATGTCAGAATTGCCTTCTTTCTGAGGCTGACATCCCATTGTGGATATATCCTACATTTCATGTTCCACTCATCCGTTGTGCACATATGGGTTATTTCTGCCTTTTGACTATTGTGAGGTGTGCTGCTGTGTACATGGGTGTGCACATGTCAACCCAAGTCCCTGCTTTTAATCTTTAGAATATGTACTTAGATCTGGAATTGCCGGATCACATGGTAATTCTGTGTGTAGTTTTTTGGAGGACTGTTCTCCATAGCAGCTCCACCATTTTACTGGCTTACCAACAGTGCACAAGGATTGCAGTTTCTCCATCTTCTTGCCAAAACTTATTTTCAGTTATTTGGATAGTGGCCACCCTAAAGGGTGTGAAGTGGTGTCTCCATGTGGTTTTGATTTGCCTTTCCCTGATGACAAGTGATGTTAAACTTCTTTTCATGTGCTTGTTGGCCATTTGTGTATCTTCTTTGGAGAAAAATCTATTCAAGCTTTGCCAATTTTTGAATCACATTGTCTGGTTGTTGTTGTTGAGTTGTAAGAGCTCTTTATATATTCTGGGCATCAATTTCTTATCAGATATGTGATTTGCAGATGTTTTCTTTCATTCCATGGGCGGTCTTTTAATTTTGTTGATTTTTGTCTTTTGAAACACAGAAGTTTTAAACTTTGATGAAGTCCCGTGTTTCTGTTTTTTCTTTTGTTGCCTGTGCTTTTGGTGTTATAGCCAAGAAGTCATTGACAAATTCAGTGTCATGAAGCTTTTCTCCATTTTTTTCTAAGAGTTTTGTAGTTTTAGGTCTTTGATCAATTTTGAGTTAAGTTTTGTGTATGGCATAAGGTAAGTATCCGAGTTCATTTTTTAAAAAAAGATACTGTTTAATAAGGGCTTTTTGTTAATCATTTGCCATTTGACTCCCTCCCGGAGAACTTAAAACAGAAAAATCTCCCACAGACTGACTCAGACCAGTTTTCCCAAGTCCCTTGAGCCCTCACCCAGTGTCCTGTATCTGCAGCTCTCCTCATACTGACCTTGACATCTCACTCAGTTCATGTCTTCTCACTCTGACCTTAACCTCTCACTCGGTTCATGTCTCCTCTGACCTTGACCTCTCAGTTCATTTTTTGTCATTCTGACCTTGACCTCTCACTCAGTACCTTTCTCCTCTCTCTGACTTTGACCTCTTACTTGGCTCATGTCTCCTCTGACCTTGACCTCTCAGTTCATTTGTCCTCACTCTGACCTTAACCTCTCACTTGACTCATGTCTCCTCACACTGACCTTGACCTCCCACTTAGTTCATGTCTCTTCATTCTAATCTTCACCCGCACACCAAGTGAGTGTCTTTCTTCACCCAGATCCTGAACTATGCACACAGCTGAGGTTGCTCTCTTCCTATTACCCTAGACTTCGACCCTCACCACTTCTGGCAGTGGAGCAGCTTTGCAGACTACGTGCAGTGTGTCCTGGCCTTCACAGGTGTGGCGGGCTACGTCACGTACCTGTCCATCGACTCGGCCCTGTTCGTGGAGACTCTGGGCTTCCTGGCCGTGCTGACTGAGGCCATGCTGGGGGTGCCGCAGCTCTACCGCAACCACCGCCACCGGTCCACAGAGGGCATGAGGTAGGATGGGGTGTGTCGCCGTGGATATTCCCATTAGCACCTGAGATACTTTCCATGTGCCCACAAATTTAGTTAAAAACAGCCCGTATAGCCGGGCTCAGTGGCTCAGCCTGTAATCCCGTGCCTTTGGGAGGCTGAGTTGAGTGGATTGCCTGAGCCCGCAGGTTCGAGACCCGCCTGGGCAACAAGACCTCATCTCTACAATAAATCAAAAAATCAGCTGGGCGTGGTAGTGCATGCCTGTAATTCCGGCTACTTGGAAGGCTGAGGTGGAAGGATCGCCGGAGCCCAGCAGGTCGAGACTGCGGTGGCCGGGGGCGGCCACTGCACTCCAGTCTGGGTGACAGAGTGAGACTCCAACTCAAAACAAACAAACAAACAAAAAACACCAAAAAACCCAGCCCATATGTATCTCGCTACCTACTTTTCTATCTTGATTTATAAAACTGCCATTTATTGAACAAGTTAGGTGTTAAGCCTTTTGCCTCTTGTCTGAGCAGATATGTTTGTGTGTGACAGGTGAGGGGGCAGCTGAGACCCTCCCGCAATGCACACGACCCATCATAGGATTTGAGAGCTGCTCCCTCCGTGCCACCGAGGTGGAAGATTCTGAATGGAAGGGAGGTGCTGAGTGCAGGATGGGTAGGGCAGAAGAACAGGCTCAGTCCAGAGAGTGAGCAGATGTGCAGGCTGCCAGTCCAGCCAGAGGCAGGGTGGGACAGGTTTGGCAGGAAAGATTGTCTGGGACCTACCTGTGGCTGCTGTCCTCTGACTCTTCTGCATTGGCGCCAGCCGTGGCTCCAGCCTCCAGAGTGTGTGGCAGAAGGCTGGGGAGGCTGGAGTTCAGAACTTCAGACTATGCCAGGGCACACTGTGCCAGTGTGTGCTTAGATGCCTCTACGGTGACTTCTGGTCTCTGGGGACCATGGAGTGAGCATGTTTCCTATGGGCCCATGCCAGGTCCTTGATGGGAACAGTGTTGCAGAAAAAACAGGTCAAAGTGCTGTGAAGGGGGAACAGCACAGCCTTGCCTCTTGCTCTTGGAACCTAGTTCTCACTGAGGACACCCCCTAGTGTCCAAGTCTTACTGAGAACAGCCTCTGGTGCCCATATCTCACTGAGGACACTCCCTAGTACCCACATCTCACTGAGGATGTCCTCTTAGTACCTGAGGATGTCCTCCAGCGCCCACGTCTTGCTGAAGATGCCCCTCCAGTGCCCATGTCTTGCTGAGGACTCCCCTTACAGTGCCCACATCTCTTTGAGGATTCTTCTCAGCGTCCACATCTCACTGAGGACGTGCCTGCCCCGGTGCCCATGTCTCCCTGAGGACACCCTCCCAACACCTACATCTCGCTGAGGATGTCCCACGTCTTGCTGAGGACACCTTCCGCTGTTCATGGCTCACTGAGGATGTGTTTTTAACTGTTCTCTCACCCACAATAAGCAACACAGAGACTCTGTGAGCAAATGTGTGGGGTGTCTCCAGCAATAGTCGGTTCTGCAGGGACCTCAGCTGGGCATCTTCTGGTTCACTTCGGTTCTGACATGTCTACCTGGAGATGGCGCTAGTCCCCAAGGCAAATGCTCAACCTCTGAGACTGCTCCCACCTTCAGACACCAGTTGCAAGTCCAGGCCTTCAGACTTCTGATGACTGTCTGTAAATCAAAGTTCCCATGACTCAGAGATCTGCAGCCCTCAGCTTCAGGCCTGACCCTGTTGCCCACCTCGGGGCTGCCTCCTCACGGTATTTATGCTGCCCAGCAGAGATGGAGCAGTGAAGTGGAAAAAGCTGAGGTTGCGGCTCCTATCTGGCCCAGGCCCCACAGATCTGTGATATCATCATCATCATCATCATCATAGTAGGAGTCTCACTCTGTTCCAGGCTGGAGTGCAGTGGCAGGCTCATGGCCATCGCAGCCTCGACCTGCTGGGCTCAGGTGATCCTTCGCCTCAGCCTTCCAAGTAGCTGGAACTACGGGCATGCACTACCATGCCCGGCTAATTTTTTTTGATTTATTGTAGAGATGAGGTCTCACCAAGTTGCCCCAGACAGTCCTGTCGCCTCCCACAGTGCTGGGATTACAGGCGTAAGCCACCATGTCTCTTAGGATCTGTGATATTATTATAGAGATATGGATATAGCTTGGTTTTCATCCACAATTTCTGGCTCATGCATGGCCTGAGAGAAGGTAGTGGGGACAGTTCTCACTGAACTAGAAACAAAACAAAACCACCCCAAGCCTAGGCCTTTCTGCTGTTCATCATTCGCCATCATTTCTGCTGTTCAGCCACAGTGTTCCGCCTTGGCTCTGGCCAAGGTTTCAGCATCACCCATGTGAATTCTGGGGGCCTGGTGGCTGTCCTTCCACAGTCTCAGATGCGCTTCAAAACCCCAGCTTTGGATGCCACGTAGCATTCATCTCCCACGCTTTCCCCCAGAGCTGATGAGCTGTGAAGGCAGGGCCTGGAGTCAGGTGGGGTGGGGGCACACACGAGTGCATTTACACACACACACACACACACACACACACACACACACACACACACACACACGGTGTTTCTCCCTTGGAGCAACGGCCAGAGGTACTTTTGAACAATGATTTCCCTTTTAAAAAATATTAAGTAGTTGTAGCTTCTGAGCCAGTAACAAAAATGATGAAGCTTTTGAAACAACCCTGCTAATTAACATGGCAAGCTCTGAAAGGCGTGTCCTGGGAGAATATTTGCTTTATTCTTCCCAGGTTTTACTAGCTCTGAAGACAGTTCCCTAACAAGTCATTATGGAGCACGGGGGTGGGCAGGTGGGTGTCAGAGCTAGGAGGAGCTGTTAAAAACCTCTCAACACTGGAGCATGTCATTACTGAGGAGTGGGTGAGGAACGAGCTAGGGAAGCCACTGGGAACACAAGACATAAGGCAGAGGCGTTTCAGAAGAGCCCTGGTGGTGAGTGACCGCAGCTGCTGTGGGAGGACAGGGGTAGGGGAGAAGCGGGGGTACAAAAACAGTCGAGCAGCTGTGATGTTGAAGAGGACACGGAGGCTCAAGCCACCTGCTGTGGTGGCAGGCAGTGGTGAGGGGACTTGAAGCACGCGTGTCCTCAGCTCTCAGGGCTGCCCATCAGCTGGACCCGGGGCTGTGTCTGGAAGCCCGGTTCTTGCTCTAACAGTGGAGCATGCTGCTGGATCGTCAGCCTCTTGGGGGGCAGAGCGTGTCGCCCCAGGGATGTCTTCGTCACCTGACCTCTGCTTGACGCGCAGTAGGCCCCAAGGGTTCTGTGAGTGCCATGAATGCACACACATGGCTATGGGATAAAGCAAGCTTGCACACACAATCCCAGCAGCCCAGAATAGCAGAAGGGCTCAGCAAAGCTCTGGAACATTAGGAATAGAACTTTGCCGAGATATAGCTCACATGCCCTACAGTCACCTGTTTAGGGTATACTACTTAGTGGATTCTAGGATAGCCACAGAGTTGTGTAGCCATCACCAGAGTCCAGCTTCAGAACATTTTCATCACCTCAGAAAGAAATGCCGTACACATTGGCAGTCATTCCCATTTGCCTCCAGTCTCCTCTGACCCAGCAACCACTAGTCTACTCTCTGTCTCCATGGATTTACTTTTTCTGGACATTTCATGTAAAAGGAATCATACACCATGTGGCCTTTTGTGTTTGGCTTCTTTCACTGGGCAACGAATGTGTTTTCAAGGGCCATGCATGTGATATAATGTGTCAGAGTTCATTCCTTTTTATATTATATTCCATCTCTTAGATATACCACATTTTGCTTATTCATACTTCAGTCAACAGTGGTTGTTCAACAGTGTCTATGCTAATATAAACACTGCTGTGTGAACATTCATGTACAGGTTTTTTTGTGGACATGTTTTCCTTTCTCTTGGGTGTATCTAGGATTGGAATTGTTGGTCACATGGTAACTATAATCATTTGAGGAGCTGCCAGACTGTTTTCCATAGTGACTGTACCAATCTCACATCCCACCAGAGTATGGGGGTTCTGATGTCTCCACAATCTTACCAACACCTGTCTGACTTTTAAAATGTATGCATCCCAGATGTGTGAAGTGGTGTCTCATTGTAGTTTTGAATTGCATTTCCCTCATGACCAGTGATGTGCAGGTCATGTGTTGATTGGCCACTGACATATCTTCTTTGGAGAACTGTCTGTTCAGACTCTTTGTCTATTTTAAAATTGGGTTATTTGATCTTTTAATTATTGAGTTGGCAGATATTTTAATATATTCTAGATAGTAGAACCTTGTTGGATATATGGTTTATAAATATTTTCTTCCGTTCTTTGGGTTATCTTTTCACTTTCTCAGTGGTGTCCTTTGCAGCACAAAATATTTTAGTTTTGATGAAGTCCAATGTATTCATTTTTTTTCCTTTTATCTCTAATGCTTTTAATGTTATAATGAAGAAATCTTTGCCTCACCCAAGGTCACAAAGATCTGTTCCTGTGGGACAAGGTTTGGGTGGATTTGAATCATGAGGGAGCTTTTGATAGGTTGGTGTCAGCTGCTGAGAGGTGGGGAGGAGGGTGTGGGGCAGGTACAGGGCACAGCCCATGTGGGCTCTTGGTGTGGGAGGTACAGCCTGTGTGGGCTTCTGGTGGGGAGGGGCACATCCTGTGTGGGCTCCTGGTGGGGGGGTGTGTAGCCTGTGTGGGGGTAGGGCATAGCCTGTGTGAACTCCTGGTGGTGAGGGGGGACAGCCCATGTGGGCTCCTGGTAAGGAGAGGTACTGTGGCAGGATGCGGCAAATGCTCAAATATATTTCTTGTATGATTGAGTGAATAAACACAGAAACATGTTCTGGTTCAGGATCAGCAGTTGGCCTCCTGGCAATCACTAGCCCAGGGTGGGAAAGGACTTGATAGCAGTTAAACGTATTTCCTTTTGAAAGGCAAGTTGCAACTTTAAAGACCCATCCGGGGTGCCAGGCAGGTTTTGTTTGGGAAAGGCCAAATGGCCCAAAG